CTAAGTTGGCCAGAAAGTCCGGACTCGCTTAAGAAGCGGAAAGAAAGCAACAAATTTTGATCTCTGTCTGGCGGAATTTCCTACGAGTATTGCATTTCGAGATTGTTCTATACGGTCCAGCCATCAACGCTAAAATGTATTGCCAGCAGCTACACCGCGTGCACAACAAACTAAAGGATTATCCTGTTTTAGTCAATTACGGTCGGGCTTTGTTTCAGCAAGACAATGTGAGGCCACATACTGCCAGGTTGACTAAGAAGTTCAAACAAATGGACGGTGTTGAGATTCTTCCACATCCATCATTCAGTTCCGATGCTGCTCCGAGTGACTATGCCGTATTCTGCTCAATAGCACATTTCCTCCGTTCAACACTTTTGATGAAGTGAAGCAAGCTTGTTTACAGTTCTTTTTTATTATTATTTAAAGCCATCGGACTGGTATCTGGGACAGATTGGGATGCTGGCTGATCGCTGGCAGAGGATGGTCGAGAATGATGGACTTTATTTTGAAAAATAAATGTTGGTGTTGCTCCATAAAATTTTGTTTGTTTTCCGCTTCCTAAGTGAATCAGGACTTTCTGGCCAAACTAATAAAGTTGGACGATAAAGCGATTAACATTAATCTCGCCAAGAAGACCACCGATGACCGGATAGCAATCAGTGTAAACATAAATTTCATAGTTGAAATAACAAAGAAAGCGTAAACAGGAGAACAAATACAGAGTAGATACAGTCAGCGCACGGAGAAGGTGTGAAATGTTGCGACAGGGACTGACGACAAGAAGAAAACTTAATTGAAAAAAAAAACAAAACGTGTCGCTGATATATAAATCTTATGGTTGCAAAAACTAATTGAGTGCTACAGTATGAAAGTGATATATGTGCAGACAAATTGTAAATAATAACAGATCCATCAGTTTTCGTCTAAGCATATAAGATAATGAAATATATATATATATATATATATATATATATATATATATATATATATATATATATATATATATAAAGAAAGAAAGAACAGTAAGATATATAATCCGGTGTTCTTATAGATATTTTTTTTTTTTTACAAAATAGTGCTCGATGTAAATTTACAGAGCATTAATATTATAAATTAATTGATTTAAAATATGGTTTTTCCGCTACACAGTTCTAACCATGTTTCAAAATGGAAGCTAAAAGCCCCGAATTTAATTTTTAATTAAATTTAAGACATTAGATCCATTTCATCCTCAAGCGAATTTTCTTGAGGATGAAATGGAACTAATGTCTTAAATGAAATGGAACTAATGTCTTAAATTTAATTACAAAATTAAATTCGGGGCTTTTAGCTTCCATTTTTGAAACATGGTTAGAACTGTGTAGCGGAGAAAAACATATTTTAAATCAATTAATTTATAATATATATATATATATGTATATATATATATTTGCAGTGAGGTTCACTCAGTACAAGGCCCGGGATGACTCAAGGTAGAAGCTTACAATAAGAGGCAGTTTATCCGGGTAGTAGGGGACGATAACGTTTAACCCTAGACTTGAACAGGTTAAGTTTATGATGTTGCCGCAGCAATACTAACCGAACGATATTAAACTACAGGATGTTCGGAATGCGTTTACATATTTATGAACGGACATGTTTCCGTACAGAATACAGGAGGAGAATATGAATGAAAATTATAAATTGTTGAAAGTGACGCCCGATATCATCAGTACAGGCTTGGATCCTTTTTAGTCGTGATCAGTTGCTTTCAGTTCTTATACCGCCATTAATTTGTGTGGGAAAAGTTTTAAATTTTTTCTGACGACAAATATATTGATGTTGCACAAACTTTCGTAATGATTTTCTTGGTGTCTGCAGTTTCTCCTCTGACAGCTTTGATGGCCTTCAACAACGTTTAGCATCGTTCACCGATTGTGATATTAATTTTTGACATTTTATACTACAAGGTGTCAGAGAAGTCACTATGCAGTTACACTTTTATTAATAGACATGTTTCAATCTTACTTATTATAAAACGCAGATTGTGTGTGTGTGTGTGTGTGTGTGTGTGTGTGTGTGTTCGAGTGTGTGTCTGTACGTTTATATATTGGATCGGATTTCCTACATTTTTCAACCGATTTCAACAAAACTTCACAGGATTACGTCAAATTACCTTGCGGTGGTTCTGACAATTTCAATTTGAAAACACGATTAAGAGGCATTAATGAAAGGGAGACAACTCATATCGAGTTATACTTATTAATATCGAGTTATCGAGTTATACTTATTATAAAACCCAGGTTGGTTGTGTGTGTGTGTGTGTGTGTGTGTGTGTGTGTGTGTTGTTCATTTATATGTGGGATCGGATTTCCTACATTTTCAACCGATTTCAACAAAAACTTCACTTTTTTTTTTTTTGGCAGGTAGTGTTTCTTATTGTCTTGCACACTTTTTCTTTTTTTTTTACATTCAGAATGCTTTAAAAATTCCATTTACAAGACAATTGTTTATAATAAAATTCTATTCAATTGGTAGACTCATAACGATTGAAAACAATATTTTTGTTTGAGTTTGGGTTTGACCAATTCGTAAAAAAAAAAAAACTAATTAAGACATGCGTGTTCGTCAACCTTAAACAATAATATTTGTCAATTTTATTTTTCAGTCTTTATGATGGTCGATACTTGATCTATCTCTTACTGTTACATCCCCGGGCAATGCCGGGCTCTACTGCTAGTAGAGAATAAAGAAAGAGAATATGAATAAAAATTATAAACAATTTTGAAAGTGACACCCGTTAGTATCAATACAGTCCCTTTTCATGATCAGTTGCTTTCAGTTTTTGTACTTTTCATGGGCAAAGTTTTAATTTTTGTCGGATTCCCTCATGAATATGTCAAGGACGAATATTTTGCTGATGCACTAATTTTTGTAATGATTTTCTTGGTGTCTACTGCAAACTGTCAGAAATATCCAACAATTTCTCCTCCGACATCTTTGATGGCCTTCCACAACGTTTTGTCCACTGATCCTGTTTCCCGAAATTTATCAATAAGGATACGAACTGCATGGCGATGTGGAACAGGTGTATCAGCAAAACTCTGTCGCACCAAATCTGTGTACCTACCCCGTTTTTCGAAATAGGTGTTTGACGAGAAATACACGTTCTTTAGTTGTTTTAACAACTAAAGAACATATTGGGGTGAAATCTGAAAGATAAAATATATGATTAGAAAAGGGCACAGTAACTTCCCAAAGGCTCTGCAAGTATATAAGACAATTTGGAAATTTTTATTTGGCATGTTTCACCGATGAACCGTCGTCATCAAAAAAGGATTTAATTTTATAAAGGAATAACAATCCATTGTAAGAAGAGAGAATGCGTGTTTTTCAGCAAGTCAGCAAGTATGTTTGTTCTTTTTACTGTTTATCAACTCTTTGAGGATTATTTAAAGCCGAATGATGAGGCAAAGGACTTGGAGAATTTCACACTCACAAGCCATATTGAAGGCAAGAAGCACAGAAAAAAACAGCGAGCAACCTACCTAACAAACTTGCGCAAATGGATGACAGAAAAGTGATTTATTTTAAATCATCTCATCACCTGAACGGCAGTAATCTCGTTAGTTTTTCATAATTTTTTTTTTTTTAATTTTAACTAACGATATTTTTGCTTCTATTTATAAATACTTGTTACAAAATAAAATCCTTACATTTGCCTCGATAAAATCCGTCAGAGAACGAAACGCGTCGGCTAAGATAAGTTTTCCTTTTGTTTTTATTCATATTGGATATTTACAAATGTATTTTTAGTTATATACGAAAATTTACACACGCACACACACATACATAAATGTTGTGGATTCCGAGATGAATTCGGTCTCCAAGGAATGACAAACGCAATAATTAAATATAAGAAATAAAATGTATTTACACAATCATACAAAGAGTAATACTGTTAGTAAGTCCAGGAACGCGGTTAGTAGCAAATACAGATAGATATATACAGTCTCGAAGTAGGACTTCCTTAGAGTCTACGTGCTTGTAACTGACTTTTACAAGAGGTTACCTCACACTAACTCCCTTCGTATATTCTCTGATTCTCACTATATCTTCTCTCCGTATATATATATATATATATATATATATATATATCCGACTACCCTCGCTGACTGTAACTCTGGATATTTAACGGCAGCAGTCCAGGTACACTGGTAGAGTCCACATATGAAAAGAGGAGGACCCCAAAACAATAAACACACGCACAAACGTTTTTATCACTTTAAACGTTATTTATACTGGATACCCATATTTAAACAGACGTTCCGTTTATTTTATTTTAGACAATATATTTATCTTCGCCTACAGGCCTGAATATTCGAGAAATGTTATGAAAGCAATGTGCATCTGACAGATTGATAAATAAAAAAATTAATTACTTTAGAAATATGTCTGTATGTATGTGTGTGTGTGTGTATGTGTGTGTGTGTTTGTGTATGAAACCCCTATTTTCTATTGCACTGATTTAATCACTGACAACGAAGAGAATTGATATATTAATCAGGATGTTTGGGAAAATATATTGATGAAGTTAGATTCATATAGTTTTGAAATCACTGAGATATTAAGAACAGTACAATTAGCTTATGTTTATCTATGAAATCGACATTTTTTAACCTTTTTGTCTACCTTTGAATATGTGCGTAAGTATTTGTCTACATTAAATCAAATCAAAGCAGAGGTCAGAATGTATAAATAAATTATATATATATATATATATATATATATATATATATATATATATATATATATATATATATATATATATATATATATATATATATATATATATATATATATATATATATATATATATAAGAATAACAGATAAGTTTGGTTAACTTTTCCGGGTTTATAACCAAAATCATCTAAACAACGATACAAATTAAAAATATGTTCATATCACTTCAAAACAGAGACCATATAAAACTAATTTATTTTAAACAGTTTAAGGCTTACGGCCCTATCACACCGGTTCCCGTACAGTAACTGAAGTTAAGAAAGTTCGAGCCTGGTCAGTACCTAGATGGGTGACCACTTGGGAATACCAGTTTCTATAAGCATGGATGTGCGAGCGGAATAATGGCTTGGAAATATTAATCAGATAGCGGAGTTCCAATTCCAGTTGGGTTCGTTATAACCACTGGGGGACAAATAAATTTCGGATTGGCATGAATCCACCTCTTCTCTTGTATGACTGAAATATTATTAACTACAATAAATAAAATAAAAATTGCGTTCAAAATATTTAGATTTAGGCATTAAATAACCCACAGAGGTGTTGATATGCCACTAAATAGAAATCACCAAAACAATTTAAATTATGAAGCAATCTGATATATGTTAGCTCTTTGTGACGAAGTAACTTACCATCAACCAAACACGGTATATATTTATAAGTTTCGGCTTCAGTCACTTTCCGACAGCCGTAAAGTTGCCTCCCTGTGCCCTTTCTATAAATACTTCCATGGCAACTGTTCGGGCGTTCTCTTGCCTATAGTTACTAGATTTTATCAATTTAAGTGCCGTACTAGACTTACGAGTTGGTTAGATGTAACTTACTCCCACCCGCCCGCTAGTCAGAAGCCGTGTTGGACGTCAATCAGAGCCAACCCTGATCTCCGTTTCCAAATGCCACCACCAGGAGGTGGGTCGCTTTTGATTTCATCTAATTGTACAGGAGTGTGAAAAATTTCCTTTTAATCTATCAAGGTTAGGTGAATTAGTCCCGTACGATCGGGAGGTGTCCCGAGCGTGCCAAGGTAGTTCTCGGATTATTCGGCATAGTTCCAGTAAGCCCGCAGCATATCGCACACGGAAAATGGGTCATGGTGACTCCAGCAGAGTAGCCGTAGCATCTTGCAATCCTAATAAGATTGCTGGGCAAGTTAGGACAATGACCCCGCGTCCTGAAAGTAGGACTGGCTGTACTTCGTGATCTTTTCTTTATAGCATGTATCGAGAGTACATACAACAAAGTCGGACCGTACATCCAACACTATGAGCTCTTTACTGGTCACAGCCATGAGGTCCGGTTTCCTTACACCACGCTCTGTCTGGAAACTCGGTTCCATAATGACGTCGAAGCCGAACTATGGCAACAGTTTCTTTTCTCGAACTTCTCCCTTCTTGGCTCCATTCTTTCCAGTCAACTTTGATCTTCAAAAATTTAAAAGCAATACCAATCGCTTTTTACTGTCTTACTAATTACTCATCTTTTCTTCTCGCTCCTTAGTAATGTTTCTGTTTTCTAATTCTTTCACACCCAATAACCCCCTTGTGTCTACCTTGCTTGGGGGTGAACTCGATTAAAAAAGTACAATGTAACCAAGAGTTTTGAATGATATCAGGCTTTTTTGCGATACATATTAAGAATTTGACAGAAAAAATAAAAAAATTATAATCGTATACATTGCTTGACGCCATTTTGAAAAATACGTATTTTGAAACTTCAGCGAGATATGTTGATCTCGGGAAAAATGTTATTGGGGTAATATCATATTGAGATAAATAATAAATCAAAATGTAGATTTAAAAATGCAGAGAAAAAGAAATAAAGAAGAATGAATGATATATATGTTTCGGATTAGAAGTAAGCCCTAATCCAATTAGGCAGGCGCCTGTGGTCTGATGAAAATGCGTTTTTTTTTGTATGAGTTCAGAGACTCCGTTTTTAATGGTATCTTCCCAATGGCGAGAATTCAACTGCCAACATTGAAAGGAATGATTGACTGTCGAGCGGTACACAAGAAAAATATTCTCACAAATCTCCACAAAAACACAATACAGCCAATGGAGTAAGATTCTCTCTTTAATCTGTATCAATCTTTATTAGTGTCTCAAAGTCTTTGTTTTCACTTGCGTCTGTTTAATTCGGATTCACTCTGTCTACTTATCAATCTAATTATCAATAGATGGATAAACCAACGTGGTTAACAGTTCTATCTATCTATCTATCTATCTATCTATCTCATATCAGTGTGTTCTTATCTATCAAAAATTTAAATTGAATAACAAGTATATATCGGAGATAGTACACACACACACACACACACACACACACACACACACACACACATATATATATATATATATATATATATATATATATTATTTAGATTTTTTTTAATTAATTCGACAGGTTTTTATCACTTTAAACGTTATTTTTAGTCGTTACTCCCATTCGAGTCAGCGCTCCGTTTAATAAACAATATATTTATTTATTTTCGTCGAGCGTCCTGAATGTTCAAGAAAACTGCCATCCATTTACACAAGCTCATTAGGTATATGTTTACTTCCATCTTGTTTTCAATATGGCTGTGAGGGTTAAATTATCAGATCACTCTTTCCTCATCATGTTTCACAGAGATTTCTAAAATTATATTATATATGTATCTTTTTTGCTTCCATTTTCCTTAAAAATGTCCTTATTGCTCAGCATCTTTCTATAATACCGTATCTCTGATGCCTCAAGTAATTTCTTCATCCTCACAAATGAAGAGGAGACTGGAGGGATCCAGCATTCACTGCCATAGATCATGATTCTATCGAAATATTTGCTTTGTGAATATCATTCCTTGATTTATGGATTTTTTACGGCTTACCAACCGATTTATTGTTTTTTACGGCTTACCAACATTTTGGATTGTAAAAATATTTCTTTTTTGCAAGTGAATATTATATCATATTTCTTTAAGAATAACAATGATTTTTCCAGATACAATTTTTATTATTTAACTCATATCTGGAGGAGGAGATGGAGTCCTACCGTTCCCTAGGGTATTTGTACCTAAATGAATGTAACGAACTCGACCGGAATTCGAACTCTGATTTCTCCTACCCATTCGCTAACCATTATGCCATCTGCATAGCCACTCATCACCTTCTAAGTTAGACAATCCTAAACGATATATTATCAGCAGACATAATCTGACTACATAAGATATCCATTTTGCACCAATTTGGTGCAGATGCAGAAGAAAAACGGAGATAATTCTTAGATAAAATTCATGATTGTAAGCACAGAAATCCTTTACAAGATTTAAATCAGTCCGAAAATGGAATACTGCTGTCATATATGGACAGAAGCCGCCCAGTCTTCACTTTCCACTCTTGGTACGCCAAAAGCGTCTCCCCGTCCTTGTGGGTGATGAATTTTTTCCACCCTACAAACCCTTTCTCACAAACGAGACGTCGCAATCCTCTCTCTGCTTTATCGTTATTTCCGTGGAGAGTGTTCAGATGATGTACACTCCTTAGTCCCAACCTTCACGGCTAAAATCCGCCATGCCACGCCCATTTTCTTCACATTCCTTTGGTGAGATGTAAGTTCCACTCGAGTAACTTCTTCCTTTCCAACGAACAACTACCTTGTTGAACTGACTGCCAAGAGACTGACTACAATCTTAACCTGTTCAAGTCTAGAGTTCTCCCACCCATATCCGTATAAACTCTGCCTCTTACTCGGTAAACTTCTACCTCGAGTAGCCCTCAGGCCCTATACAGGGGGGGGAGCATCATTGTAAAAAAAAAAATAACAAAATTTGCTTTCGAAAAACTAAGCAACGTATTAAGAGACAGGAAAATATCTCTAGAATGAAAGAGTGCTCAACTTCGATGTAATATTTAATATCCTGCATGTCAGTGTATACTGAATTGTTTTTTTTTTCATAAATGAAGAAAAGATTTGAAGCGACAAAGACATCGTTCTACTTATGAATGATGAGAATATCATTGACGGAACATGTGAACAAGGAGGATGTTTGCAGCATGATAGCGTCATTCAAAATGTTGCAAGTGCGACGCAGCAAGCAATCATAGAGATGGTATGGAAAACTCTTTCTCGTGCAGTCTATTCTCTAGACCTTTCTTCTAACAAGAAAAGTAAGAAAAGAAAAAAGTAATGACTGGAAAGAAAGAAAAAGAAAGGAATAGAAAGGAAAAAAGAAAGAATTAAAAGAAAAAGAATTAAAAGAAAAATGGGAAGAGAAAAGGAAGAAAAAGAAAGAAAAGAAATGGAAAGAAAACAATCAAAAAAGCATAGGAAAGAAAAATAAAAAAGCAACGAAAAAAGTAAGAATGAAAAATGGAGAGATAATAGAAAAGGATAATAAAGAAAAAAAATGTTCTTTTTCTTTCTTAATTTATTTTGCTCTATAAACCACATCTTTTTAATTTATTTTGCTACATAAACCACATCTTTTTAATTTATTTTGCTCTATAAACCACATCTTTTTAATTTATTTTGCTCCGTAAACCACATCTTTTTAATTTATTTTGCTCTATAAACCACATATTTTTAATTTATTTTGCTCCGTAAACCACATCTTTTTAATTTATTTTGCTCTATAAACCACATCTTTTTAATTTATTTTGCTCTATAAACCACATCTTTTTAATTTATTTTGCTCTGTAAAACACATCTTTTTAATTTATTTTGCTCTGTACACCACATCTTTTTAATTTATTTTGCTCTATAAACCACATTTTTGTTAATTTATTTTGCTCCGTACACCACATCGTTTTAATTAATTTTGCTCTGTACACCACATCTTTTTAATTTATTTTGCTCCGTAAACCACATCTTTTTAATTTATTTTGCTCTATAAACCACATCTTTTTAATTTATTTTGCAGGTAACCGTAATGGACTGGTCCTCGTCGTAGTGATAGGCAGTAGGCGTAGGCCAATAGGCGTAGTCCCTGTACCTCCACATCAGTCTGTATTTATGGCTGACACCAGCCAATCATATTACTGTGAGGGGGAACCCAGGTGTATGCATATTCATTACATCAACAACGTTTTAAGAAACAATAAAATTTCGTTAGAAACAACGTATTAATTTCTTATGTAATATCAGTTTTCATCTGTAGCAGTGAATGTTGGATCATCTTTACACAGATGAATAAATAGAAATTTGATTCTACAGAGGTATGCTGAGAATTCCATGGATCAGAGATAGTTGAAATTTCAAGGATACATAGTGAGGAAAGAGGGCTTAGAGAACCTGCCACTCACAGTATGTAGTGAATGCAGGCGGGACAGAGTAAAA